GTGTATACCCAGCACCAAATAGAGTACCTAAAATCTAAAATGCACTCAGTTAATGTACTGAATAAATGAAAAGTGATAACAGTACCTAACAGTTATCTTCTCTTTACAAAACATTTAACATCCACAATACATTTGAAGGTCTGCTACTAGTGATGTGTCCAAGTACAAAGCACTGAAACAGGGGTTTTTCTTACCTGGCATTGCCAAACAAAGAACGAACTAATAATACCTCAATGATTACAATGAAAATTTGACTGAATGAAATATTTCAGAACACACACATACACACATATATATACCTTAAGGAGTCAAGCTCAGAGTGGCAGTTTAGAAGCAACTTTCCTTCTTTATATATAACAGGATAGGTTCAGTACCAACTGTAAATGGTCATTCTCTACAAACATCATCACCTTACCTAAGAACCCTAAACTGAAAGATCATTTGTTTACTGAGTGTCTACAATGTTAAAGTCACTATGAAAAATAAGTGAAAGCGGTCTTGGAGTATCTGGGCCTTTATACCTAATGTTTCTAAGGTAGTCTCTTACACTGTGAAAATGGAGAATCCCTCATGACAGTTAAGATTTGTTAAAAATCCCAAAGTAGCGACATGCCATAAGAATTTCATGTCTAGAAACCTGGTTTCCATGCCTGGCTTTGCCACTAACTGTGAGATCCTGGGCAAGTCACATGACTTCCCTGGTCTTAGTTTCTTCTATAAAATGAGGAAATTGGACAAGATAACCGTTCTCTAGGCCCTCCATGAATTATAACATGACTTCCCTGGTCTTAGTTTCTTCTATAAAATGAGGAAATTGGACAAGATAACCGTTCTCTAGGCCCTCCATGAATTATAACACGAAAAAGGGAAACAGAGCAGCTGAATGAAAAAATAAATTAAGCTTGTAGTTAGAGAATGCAACTGTGTTCTACATAAATATCAACTTTGTTTTTCTTTTTTCCATGAAGGAAAATGCTTGAGGGCATTGGGCTTCAGGAAGCAAGGTTGATTGCTATGCCATCTATAGCCAAGAAAGAACAGCTAGTGAAGGAGGAAGGTATTTGAGAAAGCTTTGAATTAGAAGGAATAAAAGAGACCTGACCTTGGTTGGGCAATGAAGGATTGCAACACAAGAGAACTGAGCTGGAAGGCACAAACTAGGACAGGAACACAAAACCAAGGGCAAAGGAAGATGCTCTTAGAACACAGGATATAATAGCAAGCATGATCAGAAGGCAAAAGAGCACACTTGAACATTTTCTTTGTATCCTAAACTAATGGGGGAAGTGGTAAATATATGCAGCATTCATAAAGCAGCAGAAGCTGACACAAAAGCATGGGGAAAGTAGAGTGCAGTGTTCCTACCTTGCAAGAGCAAAAGCAGCAGCTAAAAAGAGGCAAGAGGGAGCTTCTGGTTGCAAATTTCTAAATCCTTTAACCACTAGAGCCTACTGGTTACTTTATATGATTTGAATAAAAAAGGAGTCTCACCTTAAACTTCTGGTCATAAGCCCTGACAGAGTCAGCACAGATAGATCGCTGCCATCTGTGGTTTGTAAATTCCTTTTTTCTTGCCTGTCAGAGTGGCGACACAAGCACTAAGCTCAGGACACTCAGACAGGCGCCCTCCCTCCTCCCTACCTCCCCTTCCATCCCTAACTTAACAACCCATCAATCAAACCAAAGGCAAGTGAACAGGCAGGAGCCGGAAGGCTCTGTCTTGTTTATTCCTCAACATTCCCTCCCCCATCTCTTCAGCTGGCAGGAAGTATGAGGCAGGAGCATTCAATAACAATTCAGGGCAGCAGCAGTTGCTAAGAGCCATCTCTGGTCTCTCCCAGAACTCTGGGAAACAGCCCAGGGAGCACTGCCACACAGAGGTATGGTAGAGCGTGATCCCATGAAGGGAAATTCACATCCTTGGCAGATAGGAAATTCCCTAGGTCATAGTAAGATATCTACCTTGATAAGAGGGAAGACCCAGAGGTAGATAATTTATATATTCAAATATTCCTTATTAGCTATCAGTCAACATTCTACCCTGCACCACAGACTCCATTATCTTCTCTCCTATTTCCAAGGAAGGGGAGACTCCAGTCAAGACGTTTTCCAAATTTTACGAGTTTTCTCTCTTCATGACAGTTCCCAGTTTAGAATGTACAATTCCTAGATTACATCAAACAGTAACTGAGCACCCATTATGCCCCAAACCCTGGCGTTCTTGTTTCTCAAAAGCTGCTCCACTACAAGGTTCCTAACTTCTTTCCTTTAACTTGTCTCTTCCCCTCCTCCCATTCTAGAAATGTTCTCTCCCTGCAGTGTGTTTTCATCTCCTAGCAACCTCCAAACATTTATTTACATAATTATTTATTTCAATGGCCAAAGACAATATGGAAAGGCATCCCCAGAACCAGGTTGCCCAAAAGGGTTGAGGGAACAGAGGAAGGAATTGAGAAAGCAGGCTTTTGCTTATTGGTAACATTAAACTGCACAGCAAATTTTCTGCTTCTAAAAGTGTCTGCCAGCAATTTTATCTACCTTCCAAAACTGAAGCATAGTCTCTCTCTTCTATCTCATTCCACTACCCCATTCTCAGTCTCCTTGGAAGGCAAAGCTTATAGCAAAGCAACATTATTAAGGGGCAATATTCCACAGCATCAGGTGTGTGTGTATATATATGTATTTTTTAAAGATATTGGGTTTTGCTCTGTTGCCCAGGCCATAGTGCAGTGGTGTCGTTATAGCTCACTATAGCCTCAAACTCCTGGACTCAAGCAATCCTCCTGCCTCAGCCTCCTGAGTGGATGGGATTATAGGTGCACGCCACCATGCCTGGCTAATTTTTAAATTTTTTATAGAGACAAAGTCTCACTGTGTTGCCCAGGATGGTCATAAACTCCTGGCCTCAAGCGATCCTCCCATCTCGTCCTCCCAAAGTGCTGGAATTACGGGTGTGAGCCACCGTGCCCAGCCCCAGAGTTTATTCTTAGCTGAATATATTGCATGTTTTAGCCCAATTACAAACTGAAGGGCAGCCACCTAACCAGTCCCCACGGCCATATGAGAAAATATGGGTTCCATTTGCTTCTCCATCGAAGATAATCATGGACATTTAGACTTAAATCCAATATGAAGCTAGCAACATTAATCCTCTCACCCACAGACTACTACTGGGTGCAGAAGACTATACATAAATCAAGTACCCTTTAAAAAAAGAGAAAGGAAAATAAAGGCCCCTTCAGAAGGGCTTTTTAGGCCGGGCGCTGTGGCTCACGCCTGTAATCCTAGCTCTTGGGAGGCCGAGGCGGGTGGATTGCTCGAGGTCAGGAGTTCAAAACCAGCCTGAGCGAGACCCCGTCTCTACTATAAATAGAAAGAAATTAATTGGCCAACTGATATATATATATATAAAAAAAAAAAAAAAAAAGAAGGGCTTTTTAGCACAGGAAGAACAATGATTACGAACGTAGATATATGGCAAGAGTTTCTCAAAGCCAGGCGTAAGGAATAGTAGAACTCCTGATACTCCTAGGCCTCTTTAAAACAGTATTATCCATCTGTACCCCAGAGAAAATGGTAAATCACAGCCAGTAGAGGATAAGCTACGCCAGTAACCAGCTGGAATTTGACTCTGCTGAAGTGGACTATAGCATCTGCCACCTAAACACAGGCAGCCTCTCTGGCAGCTGCCACTGGTAAAAGGGAATGAGCCATTGTGTTATTAGTGGAAGAAACTCACAGCCCTGTTAACCAGAAATGCCCAGATGTTGCTAAAAGCTACATATGTGCTCAAGACAAAGACCAAAATACCTACAGCAAAGAAATTACAAGCTACCACTGGAATCCAGGCACTAAGGGGGCACCACCATCCAAACACACACATCCAGTCTTTATTTATTAACATTTACATATGGAAATAGGTATTCCCTGCTGCAGCTGATGTAATTACAGAGAAATCAATTTATACTGCATCTGCTGGGATCAGCTGAAAGCACAGGGTGAGCAAAGCACAGAGCAGAAAATCAAGAGCCAATGAACAGCTCAACACTAGGCCAGCCACTTTGTAGGAAATTATAGGCTGCTGAAGTTTAAAGCAGCCTGAGCTGACCCTAGACTCACATCTACTCTGCTCCAGCCCTGCAAGCTCCATTTCCTGAGATATAAACTAAGATCATCTTCCCAGAGAAGGGATTCAGTTCTAACTCCTCCTGGGGCTGCAGGCACCTGTCCTTCCAAGTCAAGCAGAAGGCAAGGTATCATTACACTGTTTGGCAGCTATTAAATCACCAGGAGACTTTGATAATCATAATAATTACAATAGTTGCAGGAGACACCTGGCAAAGAGCTATACCTTTAGTGGCCAAAGAATTTCTTTCTAAGCCAAACTTTCATAGCCACAACACTAACTCACAAGGTTTCATTAAGTATCTCACAGAACAGTCAAAACCTCCTGCCCCAAAACTTTGCCCCTTTGCTCTTGGTAGCCACCAACAGAACACTTGTCAGATATGTCATGAAACTTAATTAACCCTTTGTTCTTTTACAGACCCAGCAGCACCATTTATCCCACCAAGAACCATACTATACATATAACCAAAAGCTTATTAAGTTTATCATCTATTATAACTCTGATGATGAAATGCCAGTCAAGCTGGAAAACCAAATAAAGGTTTGATGCCAGCCTCTAGCAACAAGTGTCTGTAGTGGGACAAGGGCAAGGTGGGAAGGTCTCAACTCAGACTACAGAAAATTCATTCTATCAAGTAGCTGCCCCCAACAACAGATACACTGTTCCAAAATGTCCATGCCTGCTGGAAATGAGTCTGTAGGGAATCCTCTAATTTAGAACAAAACCACATTATCATTACCAGATGCTCTGACCTTGTAATTGGTCATTACCCACAAACTAATGAGCCTCCCACAGAGTGCACATAGCATTTGGCAGTTGGTGCAGGGCAGTTCTGACTGGCAGTGGGCAGCCAGATCTGGCCACCTCTTACCTTTTCAGACTTGACTTTCTTTAGCGGACGACACTCATTCTCCCCTTCCTCTGGCTCCGGTTTAGCTCCCAAAGGATTGAGCGCTGCCCCAGGCTCAATAGCTATACTCCCAAGTGGCTCCACAGCTCCTGTATCCACCCCTGCACTTCCATCATACTGACCACCCCGTCCTCCCAAGGGAACTGGCTGGAGGACCCCAGGATCCTTTTCTGAACAAGTCCCCACTCCTTCGCTTCTCTCCTTCTTGCTCTTAGACGAGCTGTTCTCCTTTTCCTTTTTGGAGCCGGCTACACTGCGGGATGCCTTAGCCGCCTTCTCTGAGCCCTTGGGAGCAATTGCAGCAACCAGGCCTCCTGCATTGGCACCATCTCCTGAGCGCCCCTGCACCTCTTTCTTGCTAGCTGCCCCCTCACTTGGAGTGAACAGGGAAGTCCCTGGAGTGGGTTTGCTAGTGTCTTTGCCACTCTTATTCCTTTTGGATTTTGATTTGCCTTCCTTCCCTTGAGGACCTGGCACTGGGGTCACAAACTTGATGTTGTCTGGTAGTGTGGCCACAGCATTGGGAGCCGGTATCCCCACCTCCTTTGAGCCTGACATTTCCAGTTTCTGCTGGTCCTTTTCCAGATCGGCGTCCAGGTCAATGATGAGATTCCCTACTCCAATGTCCCATTCATCCCCACTGTCGTATGTCTCAACCGGGTTTGCATCCACTCCTTTCCCTCCGGAGGCTCCACTGCTCAAGGACATCTTAGAGTCAACGTCCCACCTCAAGATTCAAGGCTCTTCCTTGCCCCCAGCTTTCCTATTTTCAGCTTCAGCTATGTTCTCAGACCTGCCACATTGGTCAGTACATGCCCAGTGGACAACATCATTGCTGGAAAAAGAAAATTTAAAAAGCTGTTAAAGGAAACAATACAGGCAAGGATTCAGCCTGAAATAAACTCCCACACAAAACAGACCCTTCCTATAGGGCTATCACATCACAATGGACAAAACAAACAGGTTCAATTGTATTTCTAACGAAGTCACATTGGACCTAGGGAAAAGTTAATCCCCACTCCGTCTCCCCAGGGGAGAGCACAGTATTTCCAACTGCCCAGAGATTCTGTGGAGAGTCTTAACTAGGAGTCCTCTAGAGTTAGTTTCCCATCCCTGAAAAACTTATTTGTATTACCACTGCCAGCTGGTAATCCTCCCTCAATCAGTACAGGCCTTGGCATATCAGATTCAAGCTCTAGCACAACTCTGTTCAAATCCTCTTTCTTCTTGCTGTTTTGTAAATTATAACAGACTCAGATCATAATCTAGGCAAAAGCTTCAAAAGCCCTCTACTAACAAGGCCTGTCCCTATGAAAAATAGTATAGATTCCTTGTCATTCTACTATTGGGGGAAAAGGTCTTATTATGGTTAAAGAGAAAAGCAAGCAGAAGTGAGAAAAATGCAACTTCTCAGAGAGGACTAACCAATCAGCTTAAGTTCAGAGATGTTAAATCAGCCTTATCAAATTCTAGGTTTCAAATTATGTTGAATGGTAGGATTCAATGTGGCCTTTCCCACTAAAATACTTATGAAGACATAGAAAAAGAGAAAAATGTTAATCCTATCAAAAACGGGACACTACTAAAAAACCTAACACCAGGATGTTGGATAACTCTTTACTTTCTCATATGAGATTGATGGCACTATATCAACAAACATCAGAGCCTTATACTTCATGAAAGAGAGATTGGCTATAAAGGGAGGGGTGTTATTAAAAGGGCAATTTGTGTATCTCTACTATCTCCTGACTCATGAGACCTGGGACGTATACCACCTAGAACAACAGTCCCCAACATTTTTGTTTTTGGCACCAGGGACTGGATTCATGGAAGATAATTTTTCCACAAACAGGTTGGGGGTGGGTGGACAGAGCTCAAGACTCACACTGGGCTGTGCCCTGGGGGTTGGGGACCACAGATCTAGAAAAACTAGCAGCCAACATATACCATCTAGGTATTATTTTATGATAAAGCCAAAAAGTTTTGTTCCTGCTTACTTCTCTGTCCATCATCTTTCTGTATCCATTAAAAAAAGAAAATAACTTTCATAAGATAACTGAGTAGAAAGGGCAAGCCATTGGTGTCACAATGTATCCTGCAAAATGGATCTCTAACAGGTAAATGGTACAGACAGGACAGAGACAAGATAATTTGTACTTTTTCAAGTACTCCCTCGAACAGTGTCAAAGAACCAGAGTGCAGGGGCAAGAAAAAATGTCATACTAGGAGAGCAAAGCTGTACCAGTTGAATGTCTGCTAACAACTGGGATATAAGAGGTGTGCACATTATTCTGCCATTTAGTTGTAGATCTGAGAAGAAAATGTATCCCTTACCCAAGTAGAGAGCTTAGTGTTAACAGTAACCAACCACTGTTTATTAGCAAACATCAAGTTTAGGTGGATCTTACATCATAAAGGATAAACAAAAGGGGGAGGGGATGGCTGGCCACAGTCGCTCATGCCTATAATCCTAGCACTCTGGGAGGCCCAGGCAGGAGGATCAGTCAAGGTCAGGAGTTCGAAACCAGCCTGAGCAAGAGTGAGACCTCATCTCTACTAAAAATAGAAAGAAATTATCTGGCCAACTAAAAATATATAGAAAAAATTAAGCCGGGCACTGTGGCACATGCCTGTAGTCTCAACTACTCAGGAGGCTGAGGCAAAAGGATTGCTTGAGCCCAGGAATTTGAGGTTGCTATGAGCTAGGCTGATGCCACGGCACTCTAGCCCGGGCAACAGAGTGAGACTCTGTCTCAAAAAAACAAAAAAAGGTGTGTGTGTGGGGGGGGTGGTGGCAGGGGGAGAACATGATATAGAAACTATGAAAAGAAAAGTCACCCACAAAGTAAAGGAAACAGAATCCCTGAAGAGTCAGAGAAATGATACCTGTGAAAATGATCTAGAATTCTAAAGAAATTTTTAGTAAACTCTTTGGAATTCTCAACACTACACAAGAAGACTTGGTCTCCATAAAACAGTAGTGTAGTAGACTTTTGTTCATTCATTAGAAATTTTTTTATTTATTGCCTACTGTGTGCCAGGCACTAAATTAGGTACTGGGAACAGAGCAGTGAATAAAACAGTAAATAAGACAGTGGAACATAGTCCTGAAAATAATTTTTCTATTGTGAGGGGCAGAGGGCATTTCTAGGAAAGGAAATGCCAACTGAATCTCCATGATAGAGAATTATTACAGCACAGTTCTTTTCAAAATCATAATTTATTACCTCTGCAATCTTTGCAATTGTGGCTAGGCTTAGAGCGTAACCCTCATTAATCTAAGACTTACCTACTATTCTCAGTATGTAATTTAACCATTAAAACAACCTCATGTTGTTTTATTCTTGAAAACAAAACTTTCCTTAGATTCAAAAGCGCTTCTTTTAGAAAACAGGATAGTAATGGAAGAGAGACACTGGAGTAGTAAGGAAAGCATTAACACATATAAAAATGTTAGTACTAAAAGCTTCTGACAGTTCTTACTCTATTGTATTGGCTGACTCATGTATGAGGCAGGATAAACAAACTATGCCAGTAAGGAAGAGAGAACATTAAAAAGACAACAGGTTAAAATGAAGACATAACTTAGTTGAAAGGACAAAAGGATATAACATTAAAAATGAAGATGCAAGGAAATGAGAAATGTAGTATCAATTAAAATTCATACAGAAATGAAAAAAGCACAGAACTGAAACTATGGAAAATAAGTCAACGAATCATAAGAAAATTTAAGATATTTTTCCAGATTGCAAAGGAAAACACAATGAAAAGAAAACAATGACGGGAGGCCGGGCATGGTGGCTCACACCTGTAATCCTAGCACTTTGGGAGGCTGAGGCAGGCAGATTGCTCAAGGTCAGGAGTTTGAAACCAGCTGAGCGAGACCCTGTCTCTACTAAAAATAGAAAGAAATTAATTGACTAACTAAAAATATATATACAAAAAAAAAAAAATTAGCCGGGCATGGTGGCGCCTGTAGTCCTAGCTACTTGGGAGGCTGAGGCAGTAGGATCACTTGAGCCCAGGAGATTGAGGTTGCTGTGAGCTAGGCTGATGCTACCGCACTCACTCTAGCCTGGGCAACAAAGTGAAACTTTGTCTCAAAAAAAAAAAAAAAAAGAAAGAAAATGGGCCGGGCGCAGTGGCTCACACCTGTAATCCTAGCACTCTGGGAGGCCGAGGCAGGCGGATTGCTCGAGGTCAGGAGTTTGAAACCAGCCTCAGCAAGAGTGAGACCCCGTCTCTAGTATAAATAGAAAGAAATTAATTGGCCAACTAATATATATAGAAAAAATTAGCCAGGCATGGTGGTGCATGCCTGTAGTCCCAGCTACTCGGGAGGCTGAGGCAGGAGGATCACTTGAGCCCAGGAGTTTGAGGTTGCTGTGAGCTAGGCTAACGCCATGGCGCTCACTCTAGCCTGGGCAACAAAGTGAGACTCTGTCTCAAAAAAAAAAAAAAAAAGAAAGAAAATGACAGAAACTGAGAGGAGCAAGTGTTTAATACCACTGAAGGAAAACTGAAGAAGATACTAGAACAAATGGGAAAACAGCAACCTATCAAAGACATAATAAATGTCTTGAGCTGAACAAAGATCCTTCACACAGATTGAAAAGGTTCATTACATTTTCAGTATAATCAATTTAGTAAGTCAAATTCACACACATCCTAGAAAAAATTTTTAATTACAAAGGACAAAAATTGGGCTGACTTCAGACTGCTCTGTAATATTAAATGTTAAAAGAAAATGACAATCTACAGAATTTTGAAGAGAAAAAGGTCAGGACTCTTACACTGAGCCAAGTTGTTTGTCATGTGTAAAAACAATGTATTTTCAGTTATGTAAGAACACATACATACCTATCTTGTTAAAAACTACCTAAAGCACTAAAATCAGTTCCATGTAGCATAAATTTAAATAATTCTTATAAATACAAATACCAACAGCATTTTTTTAATCTGAAGAGTAAACTCAATGCAGATATTAAAGATTATCCCTAAAAAAGATGCAAGGCAAAACTATATACAAAAAATTAGCTGGGCATGGTGGCACAAGCCTGTAGTCCCAGCTACTCAGGAGGCTGAGGCAGAAGGACTGCCTGAGTCCAGGAGTTTGAGGTTGCTGTGAGGTAGGCTGACGCCACTGCACTCTAGCCCAGGCAACAGAGTGAGACTCTGTCTCAAAAGTAAATAAATAAAATAAAGATGCAAGGCAAAATCAGTTCTTTTAATAATGTAACTCAAAAGGTTCTACTTTATAGAGCAATGGGTTTGCCAAAAAAAACAAAAACAAAACAACAACAACAAAAAAAACAGAGACGAGGGAGGAGGAGCAAAGAAACAAACAAACAAAAACTGTTCTACCTAACACCAAAAAGGAAAGACAATAATAAGTCATAATGCTGACACTTACTCAAATTCCTCTTGTTCCAATTCCATATGTCATGGAAAATTGTTTTGTTTTTTGGGTTTTCTTCTGGTAAGCAAATACTATTGCCATTACATTTTTTTAAATTGTACTTTTTCTAAAAAGTAGCAGAAGATGAAAAGAACATCTGATGGTCTGTGCTAATTTCCAGATGCCACATCTTAAGTGAGATAGTCATTAAATGAAAGGTTGTCCTAGAAAGCATAGTATGGTAAAAGTCTGGGAAGTCATTTTATATGAGGAAAAGTCTCAAAAACTGGGATTCTTCAGTCTGGAAAGGAGAACATTGAAGAGAGACAGACTGGTTAGCTTCAAATATACAATGGTTGCAATGTGGAAGAGCTAAGTTATTCTATGATGCAGCAGGTAGAAATAGGATCAGTAAGTAGAAGTTACAGTAAGACAGATGTTAAACTCAGGAAAAACGTTAATATCCTGAGATTTCTAACAATGACCATAATGTTTAATGAAATCATATCTTTATCACTGAAAGCATTTGAGCAGAAAAGCATAATACCAGTCAAGCAAATACACAAATTTTCCCCTATGTGTTGTAGGGTTAGTCTAGACTTGCTTGGGGCCTTTTTTAATCTATAATTTTATTAATGTATCTATCAAAAAGTGCTTTCTCTACTAGTTTTCTGAAAACTACCAAGAATTTCTGAATAAGCAGGATGCAAAGAAAACACATCCTGAGGACTGATCTTCCGTGATCTTGATGTTAGCTCTAAGAGAGTCCCTGTACTCCTATTTTTGAGAGTGTAAGAGTGAGTTTTCATAAGTACTACTTTTCAAGCAGATGACTTTTCAGAAATTCAGCTTTCCAAACCCAGCAGGCTTTATAGTAACTTTGGTGGTACATTTCCAAAGATACACTGTAAAACTGCCAATGATCCTTTAATCAGCCTGGCTGCAGCAGCCAAACCACTTCCCATCTGCTCCTTGGCTTATACAGCTAATAATCAACTCTCTGACAGGTCACTGCAGAGATGTTTAACCCCAGGAGGTAGGGTAACTAACATGCTAGCTGGAAATGAAAAGCACTGACCTCTTACTTCGATGGCAGAGAAAGTGCAGAATCAGGAGAACCAATACTTTTCAGAGACCACAAGGCATTTAACAATTTGCAAGAGCTTTTATGAATGTTTTCCTTTTTTTTTCCTTCTGCCTAATTGTACTCTACTTGCTTCTTTAGGACTGCAGTTCGCTTTGTGCATGGTTTCTCTACCTGATCACCAAGAAACTCCTCTCTGCATGGATATGGCTATGGGAAAGATAGGTCATGACAATCGCTCTCCTTAGCTTGTGCCCACCCAAAACATTCATGCTTAAAAGTAACACATCATAACAGAAGTTCAGATCCTAGTACCCAAATCCATACCTCTGACTCCCAGCCCAGATTTGTACCTTTGTAAATCACACAGTTGAGGTCATTAATTGCTTTTTTAGGGCCTATGTCATAGATCATACCACTACTCTACTTCAGGAAAGAACAAGACCTCTCTTCAAAAAGGATAAGAATGAAAAAAAGCTTCAGAGGGCAAAATCGGCAACTGGACCCTACTTATGTCCAAATATAACATGAAAAACTATGTTTCTCTTTCCCTTCAGAGAGATCTCTGTATCCATTCTAGAAGGCTTCCAAGAGAAAGGAGATTCCTTTAATTGGTGACTACCCACACACAATTCAGTCTAAGCAGTAAATTGTCCAATGCTGTTCTACTGTAAATTTATTTGTCCTTCCCTTTTCTCATGGGTTTTGGATCAATCTTATATGGTTTGGCCTGAGCAAGTGACAGTTGTACATGAGTGTGTATAATCTATCTGCTTGGAACCACACAGGTCACATACCTAAAACATGGATATCAGGCTGTCTGGTATTCCCCTCCAAAAGCTGCATGCCAAAGAAAAGAAATGCCATACTCAATTCTAGGCAGGCAGCATTGTGTAGTAAAAAGAACACTGAACTTAGAATCAGGAGATGTGATTTATGGATTCAAATTTCCACTGACTAGCCAAGTTACTAACCAAGTTACTTCATTAAATATTAGTTTTCTCATTTTAAGATAGAGAATCCATCATGTTCTAAGCATATCATTAGGATATAAATCAGAAAAATGTAAGACAACTCAAACATATAAGATGATCCAAACATTCTTTGCTTTTAGTTTTTTTTGAGGGGTGGGGTGTCTTGCTATGTTGCCCAGGCTGGTCTTGAACTCCTGGCCTCAGGCAATTCTCCTACCTCTACCTCCCAAAGTGCTAGGATTACAGGTGTGAGCACTGCGCCTGGCCAACCCAAATACAAGGTTCTTGTGTCTGACCTTAAAGAGGACTGTTTATAGTTATATCTTTTATGGGGTATCTAAAATAGTAAGAAAAATAAAGAAAACCATACTTAAAATTTTTGAATAAATTAAATTATAGGTTGTACTGATACCAATTTGAGTTCTATGAAAGGAAATGGCAATCTTCCTTCTTCATGTACTCAGTGATCTGGATTTTCCTTTTAGGCTACTCCTACTTTCAGATGTGGCTCATAAAGCCCTACACTACAGTGACAGATTAATTCCATCTTGCTTTAAAAATCTCTCAGGGCCAAGGTATCACTCTCAAGGCTCATGGTTTTAACATCTGGACTATATTTTTTGCCAACTGTTCCAACCACTAAGTTGCTGACCCCATTGATAGGACAGGCCTTCAAATCTAAATTGTTTGAGGTTCACAGGGTTTGATGCCCCAGGGAACTGTCAATAAACCAGTGGGCTACCACAAAGTTGCTGAGCATAGAACCATATTAGAGCATCTTCTCTGAATTCCAGATGTTGCCCTGAAATCACTTCATACTTAGCCAGCCTCAGGTGAGGTTAGTACAACATGTAAACCATCCTCAGTGACTCTCAGCTTACCCAGCTGTGTGAACAGGCATCTCCCTCTCCACCTGCCACACTTCATGAGAGCTCACTAATCAACTGAATTTCCACCTAGGGCTCTAACAAGAAACAATCAACTTCCCTTTGGGCCTCTCCCTTAATTTATTACATTAATTACTGTAACAAAGAAACTGTGTCATCTCCTCAAATACCATAGCTCTCAGCCTGTACCTCCAATTGAGATCAGATAAGGAACAGACTAACAGTGCCAATTTGAGAAGACAGATCCAATTCAACAGGGTTCATCTGACCATGTGTCACCTAAGGACAGAAGAGTAAAATTATAGCATCTCTCAGTTCCTGAGTCTTTACATGCTGCAGCTCATGAATAGTTTTATGGTCCTCACAGGTTGCTATTCTCAAAGATTATGAGACTTGACCTGTTTCATTTCACATAAGCAACTGACACTTCCACGAAGACATAGCAATTCAACAGGGCTCAGGTTTAGACCTTAATGAAGGTCTGTTCTGTGCCAGCATACATCCTACAATAAGCTAAATAGCGTACTGAATACGTAAATAATTCAGTCCCGATCCTACAAGGATTCATTCGGTGAAATTGATCCACACAGAAAACCCTTACCAAGACCTGTGTGTAAGTATGCCACAAAGCAAAGATTATCTAAAGTAAATAATAGAAAAAATTAGCTGGATGTGGTGGCGTGCATTTATAGTCCTAGCTACTCAGGAGGTTGAGGCAGGAGGACCACTTGACCCCAGGAGTTTGAAGTTGCAGTGAGCTATCACGCCACTGCACTCTACCCAGGAAGACCAAGTGAGACGCCAAAAAGGGGGTGGGGGGAGATAGTTAGTGATAAAGAGATCTAAGAAATCTGCACTGCACGAAGAACTGTTGTGTCAAAGCATTAACTTTTCTTTATTTCAATCTTTTCATATCTAAAACATAGCTAAGTTCATAGTCTAAGGGAAAGGAAAACAACTTGCATTTTTCAGAAAGTACAGGGAATTATTAGTACCTTCAAATTTTTTTTTTTTTTGAGACAGGGTCTCACTGTATTGTCCAGGTTGGAATGCAATGGTGTGATCATAGCTCACTGTAACCTCAAACTCCTGGGTTCAAGTGATCCTCCCACTCCAGCCTCCCAAGTAGCTAGGATAGGTGTGCACCAAGACACCCAGCTAACTTTTTAAAATTATTTTTTGTAGAGATGGGGATCTTGCTATGCTGCCCAAGCTGGTCTTGAACTCCTGGCCTCAAGCAAGGGGGCTGGGATTACGGGTGAGCTACTATGCCAGCCACCTTCATCATTATATTCTAGACTTCATCTCCCTTCTCAAATCTCTTACATAAGAACCAGTAAGTAAATCTAAGGGGACAAAGAAAACTTCTCTTATCAAAAGATAGTACTGGCTGGACTCGTTAGTCATGCCTATAATTCTAGCACTTTGGGAGGCTGAGGCAGGAGAATCATTTGAGCCCAGGAGTTGGAGGCTGCAGTGAGCTATAACGATGCCACTGCATTCTAGCCCGGGAAACAGAGTATAAGACTCTATCTTAGGGGAAAAAAATAAAAGGATAAGATCTACACTACTAGACTAACCATACAAAAGGGTGGAATCCATGAACATATCCTTAATAGATAGCTAATCCTTATCTACTTCTCTAGTCTACTTCTTGTCTACTTCTCCCATCATTTTGCCTTAAGATTTTCACCTGAAAGACATTCCCTCTGCATGTCCTATATAGTCCCTCTCACCCTCAATGTGTGTGATTATTTGATTAACATTTGTTTCCTCCACTAAACTACAAGCACCCTGAAGACAGGGTGTGTCTCTTTTGCTCACTTTGAAGAACCAGTGTTTGGTTCACAGTCTGTCTTCAATAAATATTTTGGTCAATAAATGAGTGAATATAGGCCGGGCGCTGTGGCTCACGCCTGTAATCCTAGCTCTTGGGAGGCCGAGGCGGGCGGATTGCTCAAGGTCAGGAGTTCAAAACCAGCCTGAGCAAGAGCGAGACCCCGTCTCTACTATAAACAGAAAGAAATTAATTGGCCAACTGATATATATATATAAAAAAAAAAATTAGCCGGGCATAGTGGCGCATGCCTGTAGTCCCAGCTACCCGGGAGGCTGAGGCAGAAGGATCACTCGAGCCCAGGAGTTTGAGGTTGCTGTGAGCTAGGCTGACGCCACGGCACTCACTCTAGCCTGGGCAACAAAGTGAGACTCTGTCTCAAAAAAAAAAAAAAATAAATGAGTGAATGAACTAAAACTGGTTTCTCCAACAAGCAAAAACAGTGCCCTGTTGGCATTTCTCCTATCTTCTTAATTCACCTTGATTTGTCACCAACTATAGATTAGCTTGGACAACATGTGAGTCTCTATCTCTATTTAAAAATAAATTAAAAAAAAAAGTCATAAGAGGAAAGTTAGAAAACAAAACAGTTCCCAACTACTCGTGAGTATCCTCTTAGGTTTCAAACAGTCTCATCAATGCACAGTTGCTTCCCAAAACAGGGCTAGTACACAAACTAGGTATTCTAAACATAACTGGCCTGGTAGAGAGGCTCATGCCTATAATCCTAGCACTCTGGGAGGCTGAGGCAGGTGGATCGCCCAAGGTCAGGAGTTCGAAACCAGCCTGAGCAAGAGCGAGACCCCTGTCTCTACCATAAATAGAAATTAATTGGCCAACTAAAAATATATAGAAAAAATTAGCCAGGCATGGTGGCACATGCCAGCAGTCTCAGCTACTCGGGAGGCTGAGGCAGTAGGATTGCTTGAGCCCAGGAGTTTGAGGTTGCTGTGAGCTAGGCTGAGGACACGGCACTCACTCTAGCCTGGGCAACAAAGTGAGACTGTCTCAAAAAAAAAAAATTAAGAAAAAAAAAATTAAACATAACCAATTCCTAGGAACCCACATGCATATACTTAAATGTATAATAAATGTAAAAGTTCTATTAGACTTAAATCACCCATTTGTCATACTTTAAACACCTGTGAATCTAAGGTGACAAAAGTGGTCATGAAAAGTGATCATGTCTGAGGAGAAGGATATGGACCAGGAAGAAGCACAAGAGAACCTTTCAGGTTGCTGGAAATACTCTATATCTTGAATTGTATGGTGGTTATATGGCTGTATACATATGTAAAAATTGAGTTGTACACTTAAGATTTGTGCAATTATACTTTATGCACATTATTCTTTAAAAAACAATAAGAGAGTAAATACTTATGAACAACAGAACTGCCTTACTATATCATAGTCCTGGTCCTAGAGTAGCATTTTATATAAAGGGAATCATTTCATCAATCTTCACAGATTTGGATATTTAGATGGAGGACAGGAAGAGGACAAAGAAGGGAGGGAGCAAGAGAGGGAGGGAGACAGAAAGAAACTAACTTAATAGATTACTTAATGTTTAACTATATTGTGAGATTTACAAATCTGTTACAAGGTTTGAAAGAATTATTTAGTGACAGGGATAAAACACAAACCAAAAAAATGAGCTAAAAAATGATATTAAATCCTGGGGAAAAGAAGTTACACAAAAAACATAATAGTAGTATACTAAATAGCTCAATAATAAATATTTTACTTTATACAATAAATAATGAATATTGATCTCAGAAATTATAACTATATTATGAGGATTCAGTAAGAAGGGGAGGGCAATAAGAGTATATTATTTATTGCTTAGAAATATGGGAGTAAATACAAGAAAACTTGAAAGCACTTGCCAATGGGGAGTGAGACTTGGTGGGAAGGGGTAAGTAGCAAATTAGTATTTTTCATTAAAAGCTGCAGCACTATTTGACTTTTAATACAAAGCTCATGGGAAAACAAAAACAATTTATGTATTGCTTTGACAAATACAACAAATTTTAAATAATTTTCTAAAAAGTTAAGAATACACTCTCCCAAAATATTCCTGGACACCCTTAGTAGGCTACCATACAATGTATCAATCCAATAATTTAACAAAAATCTTCTTGTGGGAAATGGGAAAAGAGGACAGCAGAAGGGATGTAGGTGTGACTAAAAAAGGACATAAGGGACCTTTGTGGTGATGGAACTGTTCTGTATAACTATGTTAGTAGACATGCTATGAACCTACCCATGTGATAAAACTGCACAGAACTAAAAATACACATATACACACATAAATGAGTACCAGTAAAACTGGGAAAATCTAAACAAGATAGATGGATTATATCAATGTCAATATTATAATATTGTGCTATACTTTAGCTAGATGTTACCACTGGGGGAAAC